GTATAGCGGGGGTTGTTAGACCATGAGTAAAATGGCTGAAGTCTTCATACTTTTCGACTCAGTTACTCCTAACCTGACGACCGTCGACCGTCTCAATCGGACTTTATGACGTAAGATTGGTCACACGTTGGTGCTAAGGATTTTCAACTGACCGCCACTGCACCACCACAGCTCCTAAAAGTTGACCAACTGGTTGAACACTCATTTATTTTAACTTCCTGCTGGATATAATCTGTTTCTTTCTTGTTGTTTTCCTTTGATCTTTTTGACTTTTTTGAATATCATATGTCTTTCGTAAGAAAAATATGGCATGCCTTGAAGTATTTGGACTTGATTTACATCTATTTTGGACTTTTACTACACTTTGAAGATTATTTTTTCAAAAATATTTTTTTAACTTGGACTGAGATATTCTTCCTGCTTCTCTATTTTGAAGAATATCCTCTCTGTCTCCAAGGAGATTTATTTATTTATTTATTTATTGAATTTATATACCGCCCTATCTCCCTTACGGGACTCAGGGCGGTGAACAGGCGATAATAAAAACCATGATAAATACAGCCAGTTCTAAAATCAAATTAAATAACGGGCCTGTTCTAAAAACACACCCATACAAAAACCCCCACAAAACATAATCAAACTATGCCAGGCCGGCCGCATGGAATAGATGGGCCTTCAGGGCTCGGCGAAAAAGGCGCAGGTCCGCAACTGTACGTAGGTCGGGGGGTAGGTCATTCCAGAGGGCAGGAGCTGCCACAGAGAAGGCTCTCCCCCTGGGGAGATTGATCTCTCTTTGCCAAGTTACACCAGAGTAACAGGACCTTTTGGTAATATGCAAATCCAAGTTGAAAACTTTTTTAAACAGTTTTGACAAAATAATAACGCTTCCCCAAAAACATCCAAATAAAAGTAATTGGAGTTAAATTAGATTCACAAAAGTAATTGGATTTGAAAGTGGTAGATTCAGTGAAGGTGATTAAAAGAGATACAGATGTTATAAACTTAGAACTACTGAGGGGATTATGCATGCCTTCCCGAAGTTCAGGCTTGCACTCTCTTACAACTGCAGAAAACTGACTGAATGGTCAAATGAAGGAAATTGGAGAATGGATTTATCATACTCAACGCGAAAACAATTTCAATTGGAGTTTTTGAGCGAAGATAAACCAACTTTGGAGAAGATAAATCAACTTTGGAGAATGGATCTGGTGTATATTTAACTGGACAACAATTAAAAAGAGATGGCATTAAGAAACAATCATGGATATTTAATCCAGGACAAATCAGAGCTAACTGTTGGGATGATTTGGGATAGATAAGAAGCTGTAATAAACTTCCTACAAGTTGAATACAAGAAGAGTTTGTTAACAGAGGGTTCTGATATTTTACCATTGCCTTTTTTTTTTTTGTTCGCCAACTTGAGTTATTTGTAAAAATAATAAAGGCAGGAGATAAAGTAAATTAACATTATTTGTAACATTTTTGGGATTACAGAGTTTGCAGATATTATGCAAGCAGTAATGAAAAAATGAACCATTCAGCGATCCTTTAGTCAACTTTATCGTATTGGTATTTTCCCAAGTATGCTTAATCACACATCCATAATTTCTAGCTAACATAGCACGATAAAATTTCAGGAGTTGTAGTTTAACACATTTAGAATCAAGTTGGTGAAAGTGTATTTAAGACACACAATGGAGCTCATTTTAGAATCCATACACAATTATTTGAGTTTGCCTTGAAAGGTTAGGATGTGCCATCACATCACAGTGCACTTTGTCCCTTTTACATCATCAGCATAGTTTGTAGCAGATGTCTACAGGTAAATTAAACTATTTTTAGTTCATTACTTTTAGAACTTTTTCTTGATAATTTGCACCTGTAAAATGCATTGCTAATAGTTACAGAATGATTGTTACAAAAATATAATTAGCTAGCTAGCTAAACACATACATACACAAGCACACGCAAACTTTCTATTAACATAAATAAAATCCTTCTTAGCCAACAAAATTATTTTTAATATTTCTCTGTAGATGACTCTCCTTGTTTTCCTCCATAGGCATTCATGCACATTGAAGTATTTCAAAATACGGGAATAAATATAATTCATAACTTTTAATTAAACGATTTGGGTTAAAACCAATCGAATTTTCTAAATTTGCACGCACGACCTTTCTAACTCGGATGTTTTGAAGGGGGGGGGGAGCGTTGCTTCTTTTAAAGTGTTTCCTAATTCTCTCTTTCATCATTTAGATGCACATCTACCAGTTCTCTGCCTTGCCAAAGATATAGAAAAATGAAGAATGACACATAATATACATCTCTGCACATTTCCCCTTTGTGTTGTAACATAGTAGGGGTGAAAAGACGGCTCTAGTTTGGCTTTTTGATCGCCTTCATACAACTACTTTGGCCACAGGAACGGTGGGTTTTGCCAGAAAAAGTTGGGTTACCTGCTCCTGGGATCTCCTAGCGCCTCCTTCTCCAAGGGCTACGGAGGTCTTCTCCCGATCCGCTTCACGAGATTTGCTGGATGCTGCAGTGACCAGGCGAGCAGCTTGAACAAAATAACGTAGAAATTCAATGTTTAGTTGCTGGCAAATAGTAATATGCGGGGTTATTCCCACGCTGCAGAATAGGGAGTAAAAAAAGCTGCTCGCGAGCCGATATTTGCAGACCGTCAAAAAGAATCCAATTCTTCACTTAAAAAAGAACCTTTACAATGAGAAACTCAAAGCGGCTAACAGAAAGTCAACATTCACTTTTTGCAAGGCGTTTAAAATTTAGCGTGCCTGCATGCCCGCGTACGAGCTTTGTAACTGAACTTTAAATGTTACAGAAGAGATGCCCCTTTCAGAGTGGTAAGAAAGAATTAGCCTGAGAGCCCCTTTTCCGATGAGCCCAAAGGGAGAAGCTGCAGCTCAGCTTTTGCACACGGAAAATTACCCAATCGGGTCACAAAGAGTTGGAACTGTTAAAATTCCGTACACCTGAAGTTGAGGGTCTTAAGGTGTCGGTCGTTACGACCGACACCTTAAGACCCTCAACTTCAGGTGTACGGAATTTTAACAGTTCCAACTCTTTGTGACGTTTCCATGAGGGGCACGGGGCTGACTTACACTGCGAGGGAAGGGCAAGGAAACATTTTAACTACTCTGATCCCGGTTGCAGTTTGAAAGCCGCTTTCTGGGGTGCACGTTTGGATGGAAATCTCCGAGCCTCGTTTAAAACTTTGCCATCAGGTTTGGACTACCTGATCGTAAATCATAAATCATTTTCAGCCTAGCACCGTTATGTAACCTGGGTCGATCCTGCCTGCCTGAGGGCTGATCTCTTTTCTTCAAAACGTAAAATCCTGCTGGGCTACAATTTCTCCGCCCCATTCCGAAATGCACATATAATGTAAAGATAAGGGGATACCCCTGAAATGAATTTTAGATAGGTCTGTTGCTAAAGCAGTGTTTCTCGAATTTTCAGCTTTAAGATGTGTGGTCTTCAATACATACTGGCTGAGGAATTCTGGGAGTTGAAGTCCACACATCTTAAAGGTGAAAATTCGAGAAACACTGCTAATGAATAAAACCCTGCTTGAGCAGGAGACCCTTACAGAATTAGAGCTGGAAGGGACCTTGGAGGTCTTCTAGTCCAACCCCCTGTCGAAGCAGGAAACCTATACCATTTCAGTAGAATGGTTGTCCATTATCTTCTTCAAAACCAATGATGGAGCACCCACAATTTCTGGAGGCAAGCCGTTCCACTGGTTAATTGTTCTCACTATAGGGAAATTTCTCCATAGTTCTAGGTGGAATCTCTCGATAACTTTCCGTCCATTATTTCTTGTCCTGCCCTTTGGAGAATAAGCTGACCCCTTCTTTTCTGTGATAGTTCTCAAATATTGGAAGACTGCTATGTCACCCTAGTCCAGTGATGGCGAACCTTTTAGAGACCGAGTGCCCAAAAAACGCCCCTCCCACCCCATCCCTGCTCCGCCCTGCCCACTGGGCCACCCAGCACCTCCACGGCCCGCCACAGATCACCCAGGCAGCCCAGCAGCGCCATGGCGGCCACGCCCTCCGCCCATGCCCCGCAGCATCATCTGCCCGCGACGGGGTGCAAGGGCAGTCTTGTCCCCGCTGCCTGGCTACCATGTCCTTGGCTGCGCTGCTTCACGTGGGCTGCGCCCAGGGGCAACTCTCCTGGGGGGGGCTGCTGGTCAGGAGGGGGCCGTGGGAAGAGGCGGGGCTGGGGAGATGGTGCATATTTCCACAGAGAGGGCTCCGAGTGCTGCCTCTGGCACCCATGCCATAGGTTCGCCACCACTGCGCCTAGTCCTTCTCCTTGTTACACTAGACCAGGGGTAGGCAACCTTGGCTCTTTTATGACTCGTGGACTTCAACTCCCAGAATTCCTGAGCCAGCATGGCTGGCTCAGGAATTCTGGGAGTTGAAGTCCACGAGTCATAAAAGAGCCAAGGTTGCCTACCCCTGCACTAGACGTACCCAGTTTCTGCAAGCATTCATCGTATGTTTTAGCCTCCAACCCCTAATCATTATAAAACTTAAAAGGATGTTTACATAGGAAGTTCAAATTTCATTTGTTGGATCAAACATGGAAAGAGGAAAGCGAAGAATTCTGCATTTTTCCAGGGATTTTACTCAACGGCGACCACGCTGACACGCCATTAAGAAAGCGTACTCGTTAGTTCAGGGGTAGTCAAGCTTGGCTCTTTTATGACTCGTGGACTTCAACTCCCAGAATTCCTGAGCCAGCTTAGCTGGCTCAGGAATTCTGGGAGTTGAAGTCCACGAGTCATAAAAGAGCCAAGGTTGACTATCCCTGCGTTAGTTCTTCCTTTTTCTGACACGGGAACCCGGAAGCATTTAAATTGGAAACGGATACCTTCCCTCTATATTTTCCTACCTCAGCGACTCTTCCTCCGAACGTCACGTCGCCGGAAGGAACCTCCCAAAAGAATGCTCAGGCGGCCAATCAGGATCGCGTTTGGAAAGATGGCGGCTTTCAGGGACCGTGGGTTCTCCGCGAAGGATGGAAGCGGCGACGTGGGGCGGGTGGACTCGGATCTCCTGTTGCATCCGGAGTTGCTCTCGCAGGAGTTCCTACTGCTAACGCTGGAGCAGGTAGCGAGAATGGGAAGGGGGGGCGAGCGAAGGAGGGAAGGACGCCAATTTCCAGGGTCTCCGCGGACATATTTGGCTTTCCCGTAGCCCTGGTAAAAAGGGCTTGGCTTCCTGTCCCGCATTAACACCACGTTCCTGCCTAGACTGCAGGCTGGCATTCTCCCTTGCCGTTGGTAGGACCGCAGGCATGCAACTCAGTAGAAGAAGTTTGCTCCCTAAGTACATTGACCACACGTAGGGCAGTCCTTTAATTTCAGAATTATTTTAATTATTATATGAATTAAATAATTTAATTTACTTGCTTTTTCTTTGTAAAGCAACGTTATGATCATAAGCAATTTTTAAATTGTTAATCTCTCTATCTTGCCCACTCCCCCCAGTTGATCTCCATCTTCTGCTTCCTGCTGCTTGCAAGGTGTTCCTAGCATGGAAGTAAAGTTGAGAGCAGGGTCAGGCGAACCAGGACTACTGAAACTGCCATTGTTAAGTAGTGTGATCACGTGGTGTTTTGCCTAATAATTGCATTGCTTAGCAATGGACATAATGATTCCAATTAGGGTCGTTAAACAAGAACTACCTGTATCTCCTCTGTTATCAACATGATACCTAATCTTGCAGATGTATAACATGTAAATTTATCACAGCACATAAGCGATGTCGTTTGGGTTTGGGTTTTTTCCCCTCTATATGTTAACCAGCAGCATGGTGTGATGAGAGTAAGGAAACGTGTAGCTTCTCTTGCTTCATTTTTGTTCCATGTAGTAAAATTCGCCACCTTTCTCCTAGAAGTGTAATGTGTATGGGTAGAGTAACCAGAAGTTTTATATTATGGAGGCCTTCCCTCATATTTGATAACCAGCTAGTGTTATTGAAGATAGCTTCCTTCTGCTTTTGTAGGTTTGGAGTAAAATGTACGTTCTGTGTGACAAAAGAAACCCTGAACTGTAAAATATGACAGCAAACCTGTGGTGATTTTCTTTCTGTTGTATTATACAAAGTATATTGCTACACATAGAATTGCTTTCAAGCATAATATGAACCATAATATTCATAACATGAGATAATTTCTATTATTTTTCATCAGAAGAATATCCCAGTAGAAGATGAGATGAAAATCAGTAAAGATGGCCTTACTGACTTATATATTCAACATGTCATACCACTGCCTCAGCGTGATTTGCCTAAAACCAGATGGGGAAGAGCAATAGAAAAGAAAAGAGGTCAGCAAGTGTTGAAACATGGCACCCAAAGGTAAATTTGCATTGTTTATAGTATTTGGATTCTCTTCAAAATCTTTCAAAGTCTGTAACATAACAGGAAACCACCTTATCTTGAGTTAGCCAATATTATTTCCTACATTTTAATTTGTTATTGTTAGATTTTTGTCCTATTTTCATTATATATAACTCAAGGCGGTGATATTCCTAAGAGCGAATGACTGCCCCAAAGTCACCAGCTGGCTTTTACACTTAAAGGAGGCCTAGAACTCGCCTGCTTTCTAGAACAGCACTTTAAATGACTATACCAAACTTATTATTTGTAACTTCCCAAATGTCTTTCAAGTAAAGAAACAATTGTAAATTAAAATACAGTAGTAATTGATAACTAACAGAGAGCCCATTTCTGCAATCCTGAAAGGGCAGAAGAGATAATTACCCTGTAAGTCAGAGGGGGGAAGGGAGTCCACTTGAGCAGGCCTGGGGGGGGGTGTTTACTTGGCTCTTGAGGCCCATTTTCCACAGGATAGTTGGTTGTAATGGACTTGTACAGTGCTCAGCTAAGCAACACTCCTTAATGCTCTCTGTGATTTCAGACACTCTCAGCTTTATCTGAGAAAAAGCCTGCTAATTGATTCTTTTGACCTATTCTTTGTCAGATAAATAAAACAACTATTTTGTTGTTTGCATTGGCAGTTTAATGTTATACATCTTATTATGAAAAGAAATAGGAAGTCAACAGTCATAAATTAGCACTGGGATCAAGACAGGGACAGCATGGAACTGCTTTTACTTAACTGTACATAGTATATTTCATGCATTACCCAAGTACCTAACTTTCTGCAGGGATTAAGTCAATAAGAGGTGTGCCATATACATTTATGTATATGTAGGGATATGGGTCTATACATATGTTGTTCATAGTATGTTTAGGTGGGTGTCATGTATGTGTTTCACTTTGAGAGCGGGCAACTAAATTTCATTTTCGATGTGTGCCATTGTGCCCACAGTATAAAAATGACAATAAAGGTTATCTTATCTATCTTATCTTATACTTCATTAAGCAGGCTGTTCCTCCAGTTGTAGCATCTTATCTGAAATTGGTGGCATAGATGCAAATCATAATTAAAAAGAATTCCAGAATCAGCTCTGGAAAAGAATCTTGATACATTTCTAAACAAATACATTAGTGTTCAAAAGTGGTTGATGCTGAAGCAAGGAATTTAATTGTGTGGGCTCTGGAATCTTAGCCAAAATTATTGTTTATCTTTGAATTAGTCTTTGGAGAACATATGTACAGATTTGGGCTATTTCAATTTGGCTTATCCAGTTCATTTTGTTTTGAAATGATTGGTCTCTTCTTTGTTCTTAGATTGGATTAATTGTGAAATAAATGCACACCTGAAGATACAAAAGCATTGTCATTTGTATGAGGTTTATTCCTCATCAGTTTGGATAGCTACAATTGTGATCTAAGTATGCATAGAAGGGGCATATTGGAAAAGACTCAACTTTTTCCAAATAGCTATAAAATGGGATATTATTTAGAATGCACTAATAATTTTTGTTTCATATCTATGATGAATTTTTTATGTTACCTTTTCTTGTTCAGCATTATGGCAATGGAAAGTCTAAGAAAAAGGCCTCTCATTGTGTTTGATGGTAGTTCAACAAGTACAAGTATTAAAGTGAGGAAGACTGAGAATGGAGCTGAGGATGATCTAAAATTCCTTACACCTGGAAGTACCAATATCACATGTAAAAGCTTGGCTGTTCCTTCAAATTCCAGATTGTGCATATCTGCTCCCACTTTCTCATATAATGAGGCTAAACAGAACAATATTGTAATTAATATGTCACCTGGTCAAAAGTTATCAGCTTTAGAGCCTCTTACAGGAACTAATGTGACATTAAAGAGAGCTGCTCCAAAAGAAGAATTGGATTCCTCAGTAAGTATATCTGTACTATTTTATGAGGTCATTCTTGAATTATGTCCCAATTAATGTCTCGGTAGTTTAGCAGCTGCCATTTTTAACAACAGAATTCAAAATTACAGCAGCCTTTTCCTGAGAATTAAATCAAGTTCTTCGGTCATCTGAGAACAAGTAATAATGGTATAACAACACAATAGAACTATCTCAAAATAATAACAATTTTTTATTGGGAGTCTACCGTGTGTTCTGTTCATTATACTAAACGAGATTTTCACAAAATGTTTTTAGACACACTCTACATTTCTATTAATAAAATCTTTACTGTGTTAATAAAGGGGGGAGGGGGGTGTTCTGAAAATCTTGTGCCATCTGTTTTCTAAAAAATAAGTTTTTCTTTTGGACACTGATATATACTGATATATATACTGAATAATCCATACTCTCCCTCCCCATGTTCCAAATTCTCGTTCTCTGGGATCTTAAAATATGTTAGCTGTCAGGCACAAGCAACTACTAGACCCACTCGTGGATATTTTATTGATCACCTATATTACAAGAATCTTGTCAGACTATCTCCCTTAAGAAATGGCAGATATAGACCTAAGACTTTGATCTCAGACTTTTCCTCTCTGGAACAGATTCTAAGCTGGAATGTATCTTTACTCCCACTAGAGGGCCCCCCTTCCCTTCAGCTGGTGGCTCTACCACAATTAGGTTAAGGAAGTTTACAGAGAGACTGCCTCTTCTACTTTGAAGCAGCTGTGCTACCTCAAGTTATGAGCTCTGTGGGATGGAGCACAGAGGTTTATAGAGAAGAATGTGAAGCCTGCTGAGGAAAGGAGACATTAGTGTGCCAAAACACCCCGTTTCACGTCTTACATAGTCTTATGTGGGATCTCTGTTCTAGAAACACTGCAACCTATGTCCCTAACACACTTTCCACACTTTTCATTGTGTCTGCTTCATTGCAGTCTGATGACTGCAAAAAGTGAGAGAGAATAAATAAACAATACAGTAATGATAAACTAATTGTAATGATAAATTAATTTGGGATACATACTAATATTTCTTTTATTATGCTCATTCCAGACAAGAACCTAATATGTTATGGAAAACTGAAGTCCTTTTTAAAGATTTCAAAACACCTTTGTTTTAACTACTAGATGGAAACAGAAATCAAGTTTTGGCTGCTTTAACACGTCTCCTTAAATAATTTAATTCTTTTCTCCGTTCAGAAGCCTCCTGAATCAAAAAAGAAGATCCAGCATGTAACCTGGCCGTGAACCTACAAGAGTTTGAAATGTAAATGATGCTTAGTCTTCATTTCAGTGCAGAAGAATTGTACTAACCAGAAATGCAGATTGCAGTGGGTAGTTGCTTAGAACTTCACAGTATGAAGAAAGCACCATATGTTCACCATCAATCAGAGAAAATTTATGTTGCACTTTGAATTTCCTCTCCATTTTAGAAGTTCATTTTGGTAGAACAAAATTGTTTTACCAGCCCTTTCTTCTGCATTTTTAACTATAGTCTATAGATCAGGTCTTTGCATGATTTGATAGAGAAAGTTTCTAACTGTTCAGTTGTACAACAATATATTTTTTAAACATATATATTTAAATAGTATGGAAGACTGTTTCCCTATTCTGCTGATTTTACTAAGATATTTGCACAGAATGGTTCTGTTGAAAGGCCTAGAAAAAATAGTTCTCATTCTTAGGTGCCAATATTTTTTTTTAGAAACTATTTGGGTCCTTTCCAGTTTTCTTTAGATGAAACTCTGAACTGTGTGCTGGTATTGCTTCAAATTGAAGTTTTTGTTAAAATGGAAGATCAAATGGATTTCTCTTGTCTTTAGAGATACATAGGCAGAAGGCCCCCCACCCTCAAGTTTGTGTGTTGAAAAAAAACCCTGTGTGAAGCAGAACTGCATTTTTTTACAGTATGTGACCAGAATTTTATACTATACTTGCATTTTTAAGGAAAACTTATTTAACTACCAAATGCCTGACAAAATTCAGAAGGAAAGTAATGCTTGCTCTATTTATTTATTTATGCAACTAGAAAAAAGATGAACTTATCATACAGAGAACATTCAGTGGAAGTTTGCAGGGATTAAAGTTCTGTCTGTGAATAAATTCTTTGAAACTTTTTTTTTGTTATTTGAAGTACAAAGCATCCCAGAAGTTAAAAATATTAGAATTATGTTTCTATACATGAGTTTTATGTCATTAATGAAATTGCATTAGTTAAAGGCTCTCTTCTACGACCGTCGTAGAACCACTATGTCTATTAAATCAAAGTTTTGGACATTTAAAATCGTCAAAGAAGTGTTGTGTTTCGTCTTCATTTCACTTTATATTAACGACAACATAACCCCTTCTTTTTTGTTTAATGTTTTGACTTATGTAAATTCAACACAACTATAGTGATTCCATCTATTTTATGTATGGTGAAGAGAACATTATTGAGATTTAGTCCACAGTCCTGTATTCTACTGCTTCACAGTAAATTTTATTTAACTTACGTTTAACCATTCTTATGATTGCATTAACTGACATAATTTCCATTGCCTCCATTGTGCCCCAAGACCTCACAGAGCACTTCAGAATATAAACAATGGTGTATTGAAGTGTAGTTGAATTCACTTCTTAAACAATTGTGCAAGTTTTCTACTTTAGTACTGTATACAATTTAATTTTCTGTTTTTGTATTTGAATTGCTGTCATTTTATTAGCTTATCTAAATTAAATTAAGTGTGATCTCTTGTATAGATCATCTTTGTGCTATAGTTTATCTTCTTTCTTAGACTGATTCAACTGAGTTTTTTGTATAGTAGAATTAAGCACCTATGTCAGTAATCTGGCAGCACTGTTGCAATACTGGAAACATTTAAATATTCTTTATAAGTGTCATACAGTAGCTTTAGTCTGCGCTATAAATAACTTTTTTTTAAATTTAGCACTTTTGATCTTAGCTTTATTTTATTCTTTGAAATGCATCTTTGGTCAGTACATATATAAAGGTTTGTAATTCATTTTTTAAAATCTGGGTATGTTCTATATTTTTAGGAATTGCAGTATATATTCCAAACTAGTAGCTCCCAATCTTTATTTTTAGATTCAAGTAAAAAACAATTATGCTTACAAAGACCATAAAAGACAACTTCCTATATGGTCACCATATGTTCTTATTAAAAATAACATAACACAATAATTGTGTTCCTGTCATGGAGGTGATAGAAAAACATAGAATTTCAGATTCCAAAGGTTTTGTTCACATGTAACTTTTAGTGAATGATTATCTGGTGAAGCAGGATTAAAGATATCTGGGGAAAGGGTAAGAGCTGATACAAAGATCTGAATTATTAATTATTTGTATGTTTTTAAACATACAAATATTTTCAAAACAGCAGCTGATCATTTTTGAAAAGGTACATCTTTTAGAATAGAATTGAGATAGTAAACAAAGTGGGATTGTTCAGTAAACAGTCCTTAAAAACAACATGAACTACTTTTGCCATCTTAATTGAAGCCCAAGGGTATTGCTAGTAAGTCCTGCTATGAAATAAATGTGTAGGAGTCTCTGCCCTGAAGCCCAGGTATTAAGGGTCATGTTGGTTTTCTCAGAAATGTAATTTCGTGTAGCCACCCCACTGTGCATTTGGGCTTCTCCATGTGTAGTATTTTCTTTCTGATCCAGTGTTATGGAAAATCATGTTGGCAAGCACCGTGCTTCTTTTTTCCCAATTTGCTCTAGATTGAGCATTATGATATGTCAGGAAAGGGCAATATAGCTAATGTGAAAATTGTACTTTGGGCAAAGAAAACAGATTCCCTTCCTGGGATGGGATGTTTTGCCTTTCCATCCCACATGAGGATAAAAGCATAGAAACAACCCTTTTACTGGTCATTATCTGCTTGGGTTTTTTATAAAGATGTTTGGGAGTTTTTATGTATTGTTTTTATTGTGCTGTTTGTTCTGACCAGAGTCTTGGAGCAGTGTGGTTCAGACATATGCTATAATTCATCTATCTCCAATTGCCTTGAATTTTGGCCAGTCACAATTGCATGGGCTCAGTGCATCAGCTCTCAAGGGAAAGTAAATTTTTCCTCCCTGAGCTGGGAAAGAGATTTAACCTGTGCAATAACCTGACGTCCAGAGAGATGAAGCCTAATACTCCTGTTCAGCTGCATTTTAATGCACCTAATCAAAGAATCTCATTTCTTTATTAATGTGTATTTCTCAATAAAACATTAGCTGAGTAGATTTGTAAAGAGATTACACAGTGAATCACCTGTTAGATGAACAGCTGTTACGATCAAGGTCTACACAAATAAGGAAATGCAGCAAATAGACATAATGCGTTATCACAACTACAACAGCACAAGAAATAGAATGGAAGGTAAATTTGCATTGTGCTCTGTTACTTCAGGAGATTAGGGCAATTACATTTCTTCATATGAAGTAGTTAACTATGTCACATATTATAGTTTGATATAGTTTGTAATGGTGAAACCAATATAAAATGCTTTGATTTTATATTGGTTTCTGAATATTGGCTTCTTTTAGAAATCAACAGTTTCTCTTTTTATGTAGATTCATATTTTTAAAGAGAAGAATTCTACTCAAGCTTTACCTTAATGGTTAACGTTTATTAAAATGTCCGAATTCACAAAAATACAACACTTTGCTAGAAATACATTTATTACTTTGCAATCTCTAAGGTGCAATGAAAATTTAAAAATCTGTTAGGAATAAAAATGTATTTTGTGCAATGATCTTGAAACATCCTAAAATAATGTGTTGTATATTTGCATTTATTTGGAAAGAAGTCCCATTCAGTGCTAATGAAGAAAATCACATTCTTTAATCATTCTTTTTAAGGTACGGCACAAATATTGTATTACTGATCTGTACCTAAATTAATCTACATTATTATCATCTATACATTTGTGAACTGGGAAGTTTAAATATTGATTCTTCCTCCACCAACACTTTAATCAGTGGCAATTGTAATTCTTCAGAAAGTCTTATTGTATCTGACAAAGAGAAGATTATAGTGATATTATCTAAATCACCCAAATTTTGTATTGGTTGTTTGGATTGAGGAATGAGAAGTATTGCTTGATAACTAATATAAGAATTACCTTTTCTCTGTTATATCTATTCCAATACATGTCTACAGTCTAAAAAGAGAAAAAGGTTAGGTGTAATGCCTACACAAGTTTAAGAATATGGTTCTCCCTGTTAGCCAGGCTCCATCATCCAGACCAAATCTTTTTATTCCTGATCTCTCAGCTGAGCTCAATAAGATGTCTGCACAATTTGAAACCCTGCTGTAATTGCTCCATAACATCTTGAATATATTAAAGTGATGTTTTTACTTGCTTTCAAGTGAATATGACTAAAAAAAGTCTCTTTCAAATGAGTTAAAACTCCTTGATGACTTAATGGAGATGGTGTTTTTATCAATGCCAAAGTGGCTTGCCACTGCCTTCCTTCAAGGATTTTTTTTTTAAAAAAAATCTCAGTCAAATCTATAGCCTTAGAATTTCTGGAAGTTTCCTATTCAAATATTAATTAGCTTTTCAAGATCAGCTGATGTTGGCTAGATTCTGCCACCCAGCTGGTCAAACTTGAATAGATGCTCTCAGATCTGCTCTATGAAGGGAGGCTGAGGTTTGAAGGATGAGCTCTAATGTACAATAGGTGTGATCAGGTGTGATCAGCAATCATGGCTCTGTTTCCTTTGTATATATTAGTATATTGTGTTCAGGCCTAGCACCCAAAAAGAGCTAGTGTTAACTATTAATATGTATTGCTAAGAAAAAAACACATTACTTTTGATCAAAACTCATGCACATCATTATATTAGAAAACATGTACTGTAAATACAACTCTTTCCAGAAATGTTTTTCATCTTTTAAATGTCTTTCCCACACTCGGGACAGAGGATGTCATCTCTTTCTGTGAGGAAACCACGGCCCACCAATGATAGGGAACATTTCTTGCAGTTGAAACAATCATTGTGCCATTGCCGTTCCTCAAAAGAAATATACTTAGTACCACCAAGCCCTGAAAAAAGATGTCATGAGAAAAAAAGTGAGGCACATCAGTGTGAAGTAATTGGAATTACATCTTGGGTTATGAAGCAACCTTTTCTGATCTATCTCCCAGATATGTTTGACCATGGCTTCCAAAGAGGAAATAGCAGATGGCTCCAAAGAGCAGAGCCAATGACCACATTGGACTGAATAGCCAATGAGTAGACTGGTTATTCAATAATTCCTCTCTAGATGAGAGATGACTTGAGATTGTCCATAGTTGCTCTAGAGCAGGGGTCTTCAAACTTGGCCCTGGCTGAGGAATTCTGGGATTTGAAGTCCACAAGTCATAAAAGGGCCAAGTTTGAAGACCCCTGCTCTAGACGGGCTGCTTATTGTGAGAAGACTGCATGACAATAGCCTGCACCAGGTTTAGAGCCCTCAGAGACAAGGGAATAGATAGCTTGCTCAAACTGCAGTTGACACCTTTAGTTTGCATACTTCCATGCTACATTTTTGGAAATTGCCTGTTAACTGCTTTCCAGCTATTAGGAACATTTGGATCAACATGTTTTACAGAACCAGGTATATTTCCTTCAATCCTTTTGGAATTATAAAAAATCCTTATGGGAAAATGCTTTAATGATTAAAATTAAAAATTAAAAAAATTGGACACTAGAGGAAACTAGAAGCATTTAAAGTTTACAATCAAAGCAAAAGGATACTTAAATTTGCAATTCTAGAATGAAGCAAAATATTTTAACATTGGACATACTAAAAGATATTTTTGAACAATGGACCCAGAAATTAATTTTTATAGTGTCTGCCTTTATAGAAAGACTGTCTAAAAGATATTATAGAAGAGAAACAACCTATATTTGACAAGAATGAGATGAACTGAAAGTGGGTCGACAAATGACAGACTAAAGAGTAATATGAAACTGACGTCTTGATAATTAAAATCAAATCGAAAGAGAGACCTGGATAATTTTCCTATACTGCATTTATAAAAGATGCTTATTAAAATTTGGAAAAATGTTAGTGACAATAGACACAGAAAAAATAAAAATCATGGCCTGCAGCATTCTAAATTACTAAAGATTAAGATTATTAGATATAAAAAGAAGGAATATAAAACTGGCCTTTTAAATCAAAGTTAAAATAGGTATGTGGTCATCTATAGTAACCTTTAATACATTTTTGCTTCAATGCTGCTTCTTGAATACAAAAATAGCCAATTGTATCAGAATGTAAATAATTGTTTTGATATGCTACAGCTTATTTGGGCTACATCAGAGCTGGGTTAGGATATTTTGGGATGAGTGTTACATAACCTTGTTCCATAACCTCAGATACATGCACACACTCTTTCTCTGGCAACAAGAATGGCAATGTATACAACAATACCTGTTCCCAGTACTATAGACACTATTCAGGAGTATTTTCTCCGGCCCATTCTCTGCTCCCCACCTCTCCAAATAATCTTCATTGGATAAGGAATCCCCAGATATAATTTTCAGATTAAATGAAGTTACTGGGGATATAACCAGTGGAAGTGGAAGTTAAATAAATTGACAGAGGAAGCTTTGGAATACAACAGAATAGTAATGGACTCAATGTGATGCCCTTTTTGTGACTAACAAAAATGAGGAGGTGACCAAGGAGAGGTGAGGAATCCATGGACACTGCTGTGGTTGGACTGAATATGGACACAGTAATCTTTAATTCCTCTCGTTCCTGCCCCCCCCCCAAGCAATGGCAGTGTTTTGTGATTAGTTCTAGCCATTATTTAATTTCCTGCACTGCCCCAAGCAGGTTTTAGATAAAAACTATTATGAGCCTTAAATAGATACCAGAATGAAACTGCTAGGACTTGTGGTCCTGCCAGTTACCAAAGATGCCAGATATTAATGGTAAATAATGGCATCTGAGCGGTAACAAGAGCCCTACCCGTTATTGTTGAAAGCATGATTTCAGCACCTCACAATCTACTGGCCATAAGGAATAATGAGATATAGAAGCAGAACTAAGGGTTTATTCTGTGTTGCTTCTGGCTACACTTTTGACAAAATTATTGATTGCACATGACTTTCCCATGCCTTATTCTTAGATTCTTCTGCTTATAGGAAATAGCTATTTAGGCACTAGTTTTGCATTTATCTGTTTTGTATTTTTTATAATTATTTTTGAATTATAAAACCTTTCTCTTAGGAATAGTCATCGGCAGATGCCAGTGCTTTCCTTTCAACAATTATTGCACTGTTTTTCAGCCTTGGCAGCTATAAGATGTGCAGAATTCTGGGAGTTGAAGTCCACATATCTTAAAGTTGGCAAGGGTAAAAACCCTGAACTGCACTCTTCTAGGATCTGGCACTCAGAAATATATAGTGGATATCAAAGATGGACTGTGTAAATTCTTGGAACAAGTACTTTCCCTGTCACTTAGCTCTTTGGAGACCAGTCTAAACTTTAGATTTTTAAATTAAACATTGTTACAATTTTTCACCACTACTATCTCCATTGCTACCAGATCTTTCTTGTTCTTGTGGGGGGGGGGGGCGGATATTATTTCAGCTTCACAGCTTCAAATTCTTGAATTCATAGTGATGTCTTTTCAAACTTAATTGGAGATTTTGTTCAGAACTTTAAACTGCATGATGATGATAATTTACATTTACTGCTAATAGAAATTCTTCCTATTTTCAAACAAGGCAACATCAAAGAACCTACCACTTATTGGATTAGTGCATCCTGCACACTTCTTGGCATAGAGGCTACAAAAGCAGTTTAGACAATATGCAAACTCATCTCGGGAAGTGAAACGTTGTCCAGATAGCTGCTTTTTGCATCCAGTACACACAAAACACTCTTTGTGCCATGGCTGCTCTCGGTAAGTGATTCCTCCAGTAGTGATTGGCTGTTTAGTTAAAATAGGAGTCCCGAAGAGAAAAGAAAAAGAAGAGTTCATTTTTTGTTTACTATGTGCCCTCTATGTTCTTTAACTTAAATAATATGCAAATGTTTTAGAAAGAAAGAGCAAAGTAATCTTGAGCAGTAGCTCCTAATATTTTAAGATATTGTCCAATATCCAACTAATCCATAGGTTTATATTCAAGGGAAGTTTTCAAGGTTACATGCACAAGAAGGCAACACCTTCCTTCTCCCCCAAAACATAAATATACGGTATACATGTGTTACACTTTCCATTTTCTCCCCAAGGTAATTTCTATTCCCAAACCAACAGGTTTCTCCAAAGGAGTCAGTATTGACCCTCAAAGCTTGATGCGGCTATCCATTGTTGTTGTTATTCACGGTTCTATTAAAGCAGTATTTATTAAATTATTTTCATATAATAAATGTTGGGGGGGGTCAATAAATAATATAAAACTTCATGAGAAGGTCAATGGGCTCAAGAATTTGTGGACTCATGCCTTAGGCAGACTGAACTATTCTATTAAATGTAATAGCGGTGAATGAGAAAGATCAGCACTGACTTTGTATCCTCCATCCTTCTGTTATATAACAACAGAATCAAATAATATTCTGGACTTTATACTGGAATAGTAATAGATCGGTAGAATTTGGACAGCAACATGATCTTACTTTTCTCTGGATCATATTGTAATAGTGTCCTAAGACCATAATGTATATATAGGATAGATAGTAAGCTGGAAAGGCTCGTGGCTGTTGCATGGTTTGAAGTTCTGAGCTGCTTCTATAACTATGCATTTTGATAATCATCCTGAGACCAGATTTCAAGTATCAGATTTGACTTCCTCTTTATCAATTGACTCAGAGAAAGTGATGTCTTTTCCCTACTATAAAATTATATTATTCTGTACCAATTCCTGAGTCATAAAAAGTCTTCTGGCAATAAACTTCCCATCCTTGTTATTTATCCCCCACTTCCCTCCATTGACCTTCAGTCTCAGGCACCTGAATTCCTCTCACTAAAATAAAGCTATGGCAAACCTCAACAGATTTTATACACCCTAAAGCTGACTTCAGATGGCATAGTAATAAGAAGAAAATCCTACTTTAACTGTAATGTAGCCCAAGACAGCTTAAGATTTAGAGGCTGAAGGCAAGATAAAGACAGTGTAATGGAGACATGATAGAAAAAGGATATTGTCAGAGCATGTGCGTATTATGGTTAAATGCAAGCAAGAATAGAGTTGTAGCACAGGGTGAACAATGCACTAACAAACTCTTAATCTGATTCAAGCACTCACTACAGAATCCAGGCAACTGCAACACAAATGTTTAAAGAACAGAGAGGAAGCCTCAACATAGATTCTTTCTCACAGTTCTTGAGTCTCTGTGTGGACTTTAACTCCCAGAATTCCCCAGCCAGACAAGCTACTGAGTAATTCTGGGAGTGGAAATTCACCCAAATTTAAGTTACCAAGGTTGAGAAATACTGCTTTGTACTATGGTTGTAATGATTAACTGAGAGAGCACAACAAAGGCAGGCTTTTCTCCCTGTTACTTTCTCTGGACTGATTCCTCTTCCACAATTACTGTATATCATGAATAAGAAAGGTTTTATTTTAGACCAATCTATCTTTCAGTATGAGCTCAAACAAAAGAAAGGGCAAGTTATGGTAGGATAATAGCCTGGAACAATTGGCTTGGATAAAGAGGAGAAGCAGACAAAATACGTATTTCAGACCATAATAAACTTTACCTTCTTGCACTGTACACACTGCATAGCAAACTGCTTCTCATAGCAGGGCACACAGAAATTCTGATTGTCCTTGGGAATAAAACTTTTTGTTCCAATGGGCTGTTGGCACCGATGGCAGATAAAACAGGTCTCATGCCAACTGCTACCCTTATATTCCATCTTCCGTGTCCCTATGGGAAGAATAAATCCAGGACCAGCCTTTAAGTTGTTATAGCACAATAGACATAGAGATTCCATGTTTCATTTCTACCTATTCCATTTTCCAGTTAGTACAGTATATAAGGGAAGAATCTGGGCAGGTTACCAAAACTTAGGTTACTAGTCAGGAATAATGGCACTCTATAATCTTTAATTTTCTCAGATCTTGAGTACTAAAAATAAGTCTTCTGAAGAATAATCTTCCCCTAATTTGATGCCCTTCAGACACCACAACAGATACTGCTAACACATGTGGTGACTAGATGGCAGGAAAAGAGATGAGGTTTTTTTCCTGCCACCTAGTGATTGTGTGTGTTACTGCAGTCTAGATAGGGCAGCCCTGGGCATTGTAGAATAGCATTTTTGACTGATGCCAAAGAGAGTTGTTTATTGAATGAGTTCACACAATGGAGCTTTGAAGGGACAGGAACTGATTTTTATTGGAATGTAGATCATTTCAATTCATATACAAAAGGATCTATGAAATACTCTTTTAAAATTAACAACCATGAAAAATTGTTTCACCCTTTATAATTTATCCTTTGTAGTAATAGCAACATGGCAATATTGGTTTATAAGTAAGTTTAAGGAAGACTGAAAGGAGGAAAATATAGAACTAGTTAGAAACCATAACTCCCTAAAGAGAAACAGAAAAACCTTCTGATTGTACCTACAATATATATGTTGCATCATCGGCCCACCACTGCGCTTCTTGGCTTTTCAAAAGACATTCAGTGCAGCTCTCCCCATCCCAGCTTGACTGCCCTGCATGAAAAATGTTTTCTCCTGGCTGCAGAACACATTTCTGCCTGACCATTGGAAGGCAAATAAAAATCTTGGAAAAGCATCTTGCAAGAGAACCGTCCTCTGATTTTAGAAAGTATTTCACGAAAGCCCCTTTGTGTCTCCAGAGCAGACAAGGTCTAACCTGGCATGATGGTCTTTTTGCACTCGCTACACTTGGAGGAGTATTCATTTGAATAGCATTCAGTACAAAGAAGGTGCTCTTCCTTCGCAGCAAAAGGTTTGTCCACCAAGGAGTTCTTGCACTGGAAGCAATGGAAACAGGTTTCATGCCAATGACGATCCTTGTAGGACAGGTCCTGTAGAAATCACAAACCACATAAGCCCATGTGAGGAAACACTCCATAACCTTAAGACAAACTGAGCACAACATTGTATGTGATGACTGATAACTAATGGAAAATATATGACCAGATATGATATTCGAATCCATCTAAATTTAATCCCTAGTTTGCCAGTTAGCATTCATTTTAAACAATTGCTTTGAGTAAGCCATTGTTGCTATCCTTTTAATAAACACAACCTATATGAATGGCGAGATCCTTTGCCCCCTTTTTCCAATAAAAAATATTATGCACTGATTTGTACATGTTTTATCCTTGGGTGTCATGGGTTGTATGCAGTATCCTTGCATTCTGTCCAGAGTTGTGTCCTTGTACAAATGAAAGTGGACATACATGTCCCAGAATAATGCTGCAGGATCCAATCTGGGTCAGTCACCAGGACCAGAGGTTAAGTCTTTCAAGCTTTCAGACTCCATACTTCCAATGTAATCTACCAAATCCCTTGCATGGATTGCCCCTGTGACAATGTAGGACAGATGGGGAGGAAGCTAACCACCAGATTTCAAGAACACAAGCAAACAGTTCAGAAGAGGAGACCCAAACTCATTGGTAGCTTCACACTGCAATGAACAAGGACATATATTCCATTTTGAAGCCACCAAGATTGTTGGACTAGCAGGCACAAAAGTAGCCAGGGAAGTGATTAAAGCCTGTCAGTCAAAAGGAGTGCTGATTTACCACCAGCTTATCAAATACTGGCAGCACAAGGAAACAACAGCCAACAACTGAACAGCTGGCCATCAACACCCCAATCTGAAAGCTCAGAAGACTAAGCCTTTGTTCCTGATGATCAACCCAAATTGGATCGATATCATTGTATGCTGTCCAGAAGCACTGTTGTGAGATAGATGGCTATACCCACACACAAACATACACGCAAACACATTTTGAATGCAATTCTATGCATCTCGCTGGAGCAAAAAAGACTGGGATGAGGGTACTCATGTGTTTGCTGCTAGGTCTATTCACTCTTGATGTCAACTTGAAGATTTTCCTTGCTCTCCCTCTTAGGATTCTTTACCTAAAATCCATATTGAAATTGCTTTTTGGTCTACTGGTTAAGGCACCAAGGTAGAAACCAGGAGGCTGTGAGTTCTACCCCTGCCTTAGAATGAAAGCTGACTGGGTGACTTTGGGCCTGTTTCTGTCTCTTAGCCCAACTCACTTCACCTCAGAGGATAGCTGCTGTGGGAAAAAGTGGGAAAAGGAAGGAGTAATAGTTATGGTCATTGTGTTGGATTATTTATAGAAGTAATATAAAGGTGGGATAATAAACAAACAAACCTTTATATCAAAGACATTTACAGAGAAGACTTTCAAACAAAGAACTTCACTCTATACAATCCTGAACAATCTGAACAAATTGGTCAATTTACTAATAAGAATTTATCAGAATCATTCCTAATAACAGAAAGTATATCAATGCATATTATGGGTTCATTTGAAAAAATGGGACATGCAGCATATTCTCCTCTTTTGTGTTTTTTCTCTTTGTAAACACCCAATAAGTATTAGAAATTCTCTGGAGGAATTTGGAACAAAAAGCCAAAATGTTTCCTGGATTAGGGGGAAAAATGCCACCATATGCTTTGTCATTTCCGATAAAGCTAATTCCCATATTAGAAGAGTCCTACTCTACAAGAAGGGTTGCACTTTATATTAATAATCAAATGAATAAAATAATCAAATGAACACATTACATAGAATTGGACTGCTGGAAACTTTTTTTTCTTTTTTTATTTCTCATGGAATTTTATTTCAGATTCAGTCCCACATGCCTTCCTGTGTGCATCATTTTTTATTTTCCTGCTAAACCAAGTGGAAAACAAACCATAAAATATGACAGCTGCTGACCTTTGCAGAACTATGCATATACAAATCTGTTTTCCTGGGATTTAGCTATATATATAAATGCCTCGTTGTGATATTATTTATCATTTAATGCAAGAATGGGATCTTAAAATTGCAATTAAGGGATTATTAAAAAGAGATAATAATGAGAAACTTATATGACAAGCTTGTCTGCTGCACACCAGGCACTCAAATCATGTATCATCAAGCGAACTCACATACTTGGTACTTTTCAGTAATTTTGAAAAGTACTATCTACTGAAATATTTTTCAAGCTTAGCAGCTTGAAGATGTGTGGACTTCAATGGTGGGATTCAGCTGGTTCACACCATTTCGGCAGAACCGGTAGCTAATTTTTTGTTGCCCAGGCCCAGAATGGACTTCCAGAAGCAGCATCCACACAGAGAACCGGTTGTTAACATATTTGAATCTCACCACTGGTGGACTTCAACTCCCAGAATTCTCCAGATAGCCATTCTGGGAGTTGAAGTCCACACATTTTCAAGATCCAAAGTTTGAGAAACACAGATCTACTGTATATTATTTTGGAGAATCACTGGATGATTTAATATTGTATAACCATCAATATAGCATACCTCGGCTTGGTCATTCTCTCCCATTAGAGTTAAAACATCAAGTTTCTCAGTTAGTGCATAAACAAGCATTTGTGAGTACACCACTTTTCACCTATATTCTTCCCACCATTAACAAATATTTTGTTAATTGTTCACCCAGAGAAAAAGGGGCCCATCATCTTCTATGACTCACTTACTGCCCTTGAAGAAGGGCCTGTAGCAGAGATCAAGTAGCACTAAGCTTCCCCAATCCCTCCGTCTGAGTTGAAAAGTTCAGCTAATTCCTGCCTGGCTCTGAGACATCTTGAAGGCAGGCCAAGCAAAGGGATTCAGGAATGTCAACACACACAAAGTACAGAAAGGATTTTTTTAAAAATCCTACTCAAAAAGAATTCTGGGAAGAAACAGGGTTTGTCAGCCTTTAGGAATTTCTGCATACTATCCTCTCTTTTTTTGGCTTCTGCTGGCTGCCCCCCCCAGAAGTCCATAGCAAATTAAACTAATATAGATTAATCACATAAATTGTATTTTGGACACTTGACAATCAGCTAACTTTTATCAACATCTGCAGCATTCTGTGGTCACATGTGCAATTTTTGCTTTTTTTGCTGTTTTGACATTTACTTCCAGTTTCCAGCAAAAAGTTCCCATTGGGTATAATGGTTTCATTTAACAACTGTGGCATTTGCCATGATGTTCACTTAACAACCGCTGCAAAAAAATTGATAAAATCAGGTCTGGTCACATGGTGACCCACTGAATGATTGCAACAATTAACCATCATAATTCTGGGCTCAAATATGGTCATAGATCAAGGACTACTTGTATTATATTTTTGCAATTTAGATTGTCAGTTATATAATTTTTAACATTTTATAAAAAGGGAAGAAAGAAGGCCTATTTGTTACTTGGTTACTTTTCTGAAGTAGGACAAATAAGTCTTTGTTGCTTTTATTAGAGTGTTGTATTCTTTCCCTTTCTCCCACCTCTGTCCTCCACACAATCAAGTTGATTCCTTGGCCCTTTAAGTTGGGGGAAATCATTCAAGCATCGGGCTAGGATGGATACAGTGGTTGGGAGTGGGTACCCTCGAACCCAGCAGCACTTCTGGTCCTTCTTGATTTTCACACTACTTATTTTAATATAGAAAAGGAAAGAAGCAGAATGTATAAAAAGGGAAAAACAAAGTCAAACAGGACAAGAGAAAAATAGCATATGGACCAGCTGTTATAAAGAAACTCTGCTTTGGCTGTTTTGAAAAGTCCCAGTTAATCAGAGCCATTCTCAGGGGAGATGTTTCTTCCTTGCACACCTTGACATGGGTAGAATCCTTGGGCAACCTTTTGGAGAGACCTGATGGTGGGTAAGAAAGCTTAGGACAGGGAAAAGGCAGGGCAGCCTACCTTACAATCACAGCCGATTGGCTTCTTACATTCTTCACAGGTGTTGGAGTACAAGCTCTCGTAGCACTTGATGCAGTAGGGACTCTCTTCCTTCAAAATGTATTTCTTGCCAAACAGCGTCTCCTTACAATAGTGGCAGTCAAAGCGTTCAGTCATTTTGGTATCAGGGATTTGATCAGACTGTCAATAAAAAGATGACACATATTAAGTTCAAAATGGGCAGAACATCAGCAGGTCAGCAGGCAGGAGGAGGATGAAATGGCGGAGATGATTGTTTATTTTCCATGATTCGTTCTAGGAGCCTCAGGATGACATATGAAAGGACCCTTCAGATAGTCATTCATACCATGATCGTCTCATGGCTTGACTACTGTAACCCAAAAACTTCAATGGGCCCAGAATGCAGCAGCATAGGCAGTGATGGACGTGTCTTGGAATGTCTCTTAACACCTCTGCTTCATAAGCTGCACTGGTGGCCAGTGTGCTTCCAGGTGCAATTTAAGGTGCGGTCACTACCTATAAAGCCCTACGTGACATAGGGCCTTGTTGCTTGAGACACCACCTGTCTGCTATAGTATTTGCCCGGCTGATTCAAGGAGTTGGCACATTCTGGGTTCCTTCAGTTAAATAATGTCATCTATCAAGACCTCAGGCCTGTGTCTTATGTAGTAGTATCTGCTCTCTGGAACCAGGTTTCCACCCAGATTCCAATAGCCCCTATCCTACTGGTATTTCAAAGGGCTTTGAACATGTGGCTCTTTAACCAGGTCTCCCCCCGCTTTTCTTCTTTTTCTTTATTCTATTCTGGGTTTGCTTTCTATATCATCCTTGCTTCTTTTATTGGGTTGTTTTTGTGTGACAGATACGGTAAGGATGGTAGCTTTCCAAAAAATAATAGCCTATCAGTATACAGATTGCAAGTTGTATAGTGCAATATCCTCTCTGCTTTGAATATGAGCACAAGGCTCATATCTCCTGTAGGGAAAACAGGAGGGACTGGGAAAGCCATATATTTTAGTTTTCATGGGGAGAATAGTATCAGATAGAAAGGTTAAATGGCATCATTACATGACCAGCCTGATGTAAATGTCTCCTAACTGAATCTGTAATGTAAAACTAACCTTGGTGATTAAGCAACATTGTTAGATTTTCTCCCAGTATAAACATAGCCCAGTACCCATAGTGTTTGTAGATCTACCTCTTGTTTTGATGCCTGACAACCGAGCAGACCTTTGAAGTCTACACATATTTGCTAGCATCCTCTGTGGATATTTGAACAGTCACTAGCATGATAAGGAAGCCTGTACAGAAGTCCTGCTGACTTTCATCACAGAATGGTTTTCTAAAGCAAAATGTTGTATATTTAGTATTCTGTATTCAACCTGAAAAAATGTTTAGAATGCTTCCTTGCCGGCTTAAAAAACTGCATGCAGAAGATCGATCATTCCATCCCATTGTCCAATTGCAGAAAACGGGAAATGGCCAATTTCGTTCTATCAACTTGGATTGCTCTTGTCAATCAAGGGTTCAGAGCACATTGCAGAATGATGTTCAAAGCAAGCCACTTCAATGGAGCAATTTTCCTAATCATTCCTGAAAATCTTCTTTTATCATGGCTAATATTTAGAGAGAGAAAGACAGTGGATTGTGCATAAAGCATTAACTGAGAGCCAGTTTAGTCTAGTGGTTAAGGCACCAGGCTAGAAAGCAGAAGACTGTAAGTTCAAGGCTGCCTAACCATTAAAGCAACTGGGTGACTCTGGGCCAGTTACTCTCTCTCAGCCTGACCCACCTCACAGGATTGTTGTGTGGAAAATAGGAGGAAGAAACTGTGTTGGATATGTTTGCTGCCTTGAGTTATTTGTAAAAATAATAAAGACAAATACAAATAATAAATAAACACATATAACATATGAAACATTGAGATATACATATACATTTTCCATATTTAGTCCAAACTAAGGGCATCCAAGATGTTTTACAATGTATGTAATTTACATATGAATGAAAAGATCCTAATTTTATAATTAACTCTGCCCCATTGCACTAATAGGTGCTGAAGAAAAGTAATATATAAATTGCCATTATAGTAAAATATTAATTTGTCCACCTTATAATACTCTGTTCACAATACTCTGCTGTGATATATAAAAAAACATAGACACTCTATCACATATTCTATTAATTAATTCTGAAGTAAGAAGGTAATAAACAACTTATTTATGTGAGCCCATATTTTTATATATTATGAAGGAGATTATTTATAGTCATTACTACATGGTCACTACACCAAGTTGTATTTCAAGTAAGCAGAATAGAGTTGTATTGAAATGCTCCAAGATGTTGATGCATACTCTATCATTCCCCCCCCCCCAAAGCCTGCCATATCTATGTCCTTCTTTAAATCAAGCATTCAACTTTGTGAACATAAAAACATCAGCAGTGCCTGTAGGAGAGAAAATAAAATACAGACTGCACCAATTTTCCCCTTTGTCTTTTTGCATGTGACCAAAGTCAAACTCAGTTCATCTCTTTGCCTAATCCCCATCAGACCAAAATGGACTCTCCTTATCCCCAGACAAAGCCCACTGCAGGCTCATCTAGATCAAAGAATAGTTGGTCTCATCTCACCTGTCCAAAGTCTAGTCCAAGACCAGCCCTTACAAGGGAATTGCAACATAAAGAAACCCCAACATTCCATCCTATAGCAATTGATGACCTCAAAATTCCATCTCCATTGCAATGGATTTCCCAGTTCTGCTGCCCTCCTGAAAGGTCCATTTACCTAACAATAGAACTAACCACAAGTACACTGACCCATGACAAGGACTTGTTTAGTTTTCCCAAACCAGGCAGCAAATCAGATCCCTAGGATTTCCTACTTTGTATCAAAATCTTTGCTTTTCCATTGTTCAGGGCCCCTCTTTTTGTAAATCGGTCCCCCCAATTATCCTTGCATTAAACATGGTTTTTCTCCTCAATGTTGTGCACCTTCTTCTGACTGAATCCATGACAATGGCCTGCTGGATCAGGCTCCTGCCCATCTAATTCAGCAGTCTGTTCTCACAATTGCCAACCACTACATAGGGAAGTGCACTAGTCTATCTATAGAAGGACCCCAAGGACCTACCATCAAAACTAACAGCAATTAAATTTACAGGATTTCTGTGAAATGGTACACCAATTTTAGAAGCCAGCACTATATATCATGACAGAAAATTCCAGGGTTCAATTGTTTTGTGTAAAAAAAATATGTCCATTTGTCTGTCCTGATTCTTCCAGTACTCAATTTCATTAGGTGGTCGCTGGTCCTAGAATTTTGGGAAGAGGAAAATAGTTTTACCTTGTCTATTTTATCCATACTTTGCATACCTTTGTATATCTCAATCATATGCTGTCTTATATGCCCCCTTTCTAGACTAAAAAAACCCAAATGTCATTCCTTTGCAGCATTGATACAAAAGACAATAGCAGTTATCAAAATAATTCTGTAATGGAAATATTTAGTGACATTGTTAATTCAAATTCTTAGGATGGTTTTAAAATTAAGTGAAACTAGGGAAATGAGCAAATGTTGTTGTCATGGGTAATTTTAAGTTGCCTTACATAGACTGAATAAAAGCATGTTCTGATCATGTGATAAGACTTATCACAGAAACATGAGGACTTTTGTTTGAATGTTGCAATTGTTTCTCAGGGTTTGGCTGAACAAGTGGATGCGGTGGCAGTGGATGAAAGCTATCCACATCTTGACTATGATTTAATACTGGAAAAAGTATCAGAAACTACAGAAGACTTCAAAACCTACTGGAAATCATGGAGAAAACTTAAAGAGGCTATATTGGAACCTCACATTGACTCTTTAATAATGAATCAAGTTGTGGAACAAGGAATAACAGAAGAGAAAATGAGTAACCCTGAACAGGCTTTTATACATCAAGACATACAATTTAAAGAGACAGAGACATTTATATTGGGA